CTTTGGAAATTCCTTACTTTCATATGAAGGGTCATAAAGAAGGTAAGTGTCTTGAAGAGGAAAACTCAGAGTTAACTGTGAACGAATTACGTGTTTTAGAACCTCTCTCTCATCCTTCCTCACGTGTAATGGCAAGGCCAGAAGGTTACACAGCTCCCACTGCTAGCACGTGGTTTATGTCTAAATGTTGCCTCAGGCTAAGACAGTTTCATTTTTCTTTTCTGAACATACATACAAATGATGAGTTTTGACATTAGACTCAGTAGACAAATGTTATTTAAAAAATATGTCCCCTAAAATAACATTTGAGTGAAAAAGGTAACATTTGTTTCCAGATAAACCAGTTTAACAATAGAAAGTTTTAATACTTTTTTTGAATCAATCTAGCTGATTCCAAATTAAAATGCCTGTTTGTGTGTGTTTTCATGTGGTGAATTAGGCCCAAAATGAAATATTTTATTAATTAAATAAATAGACACAATTAATGAGATTAATGATAGAATTTCAGCAGGCATCTCTAATCCATTTTTATAGAGAAGACAAAATGATTGCTTTGGAAAATATTAAATACTTTTCTTTGTAGATTTTCAAAAATACATGAATCAGGTAATGAGCCTAAAAATAAATCAAATGCAGCTACTACTGAATCTTTTCCTGAATTTTATACAGAGGCCTTTTTATAAATGGTGGAACTGCCTACACATCTACCAGCCTAATAAGATTAATTATTGTATCTCATTTTTCCATTGTTCGATCTTTAGCAGCTGAAGACACAGCTAATCTGCCTCCTTCTCCACCCCCATCGCCAGCCTCAGAACAGACTGTCACAGTGGAGGAAGGTAAGGCCTACAGGGCTTTTCAAGGTTTGTCTTCTAATAATGGGTAGATAATCAACTTCTATCCGTAGTACTGGACTTTGATTTTGGTTAGTATGTGACTGAGCTTTGGAGCTATGTTTCAAATAGTCAAGAGGAAACAAAGACCTTAAATAAATAATCACTTATCTATATAAAATCAGAGGTAAAGGAATATGATAAATAAAAAAGAAGAAATCTACTTGATAAAGGAAAAGATAACTTTGTGCTTAGTTGCTAAAATAACTATAGAAAACCCATTCACTTAAGGTAGAGTACTTTGACAGGAAAGATGCAATGCTATCTTGTAAGTGACTGAACAAAAGAATATATAAATGTAATGCCCATTATAAGTAATATATAATTATTAGGTCAGATTAGAGTCAGATTGATTGATGAAATCAACACTTCCTTATGAAAGTGTCAGGAATTGTCTCTGTTTTGCTCACTATTACATTGCCAAGACCTTCCCCAGGGCTTGACCCATAATAAATTCAATAAATATTAATGAATAAATGAAAAAGTCAATGAATGAACCTGGTATTGAAAGCAGTGAACTGGAAGCTGAGATCATGGCTTCTTTCCTGCTGAGACCTATTACTGTCCATGAATCTATTTATGCACTCACTCAACATGGAATGTCATGTCAGCTTTTTAGTTTGCCTTGATAAAACAGAGGGATGCCTTTGAAGAATATTCATTCAGAATCTGAGATGAAAGGCACTACTTAAAAGGAAACCATTGTTGGTTCTCTGATTTAGATCAGTTAACTTTTGTGTATCGTTTGAGAGTTACAGGAATGGGCAGAAGAGAGCTACAGCTCAATTGTTGTTTCAATGTAATTTTGTTTTCATATACTAAAATCAGAATTTTAAAACTATTCTATTTCATTTATCTGTTCATTTATTTTTCCTTTTGTCACTTTAGATTTCATTTTACTATGTTAAAAACTAAATAACATTTATCACAAAAGACTCATCTTTTTATAATTGCAATTAGATTCATTTCAAATGTGCTTTGATTTCTTAAATATATTAATAAAAATCTAATTACTAAAACATAGATTATCAACTCTA